CATGGCAACAATTGTGAGGTTGGCACAGGACCGGGCAGTGTTTTGTTCTGTTGTGCATAGGGTCGCTATGAGTTGGTATAGACTCAATGGCACCTAACAACAATAAGTATACAACCTTAGGGTTGCACACCTTTTTGAGTCTAAGTTTCCTCATTTATAAAACAGATTTCCTCTTAAAGAGGGGGTGTTGTTGTGAGCTGTTAGGTCCTTGTGGTTTATAGTGGCCCTGTATAGGGTTTCAAGAAGCAGCTGGTGAGTTTGAACCACCGACCTTGTGGTGAGCAGTCCTATGCTGATGCTACAGTGCCACACCAGAATGCAAGGAATGGTGTTGTTGAATTGCACTTGGATTGGCTGAATCTGACTCTCAGTATGGGGCTAGGTCTTACCATCTCAATTAATCTCTTAACACCTCTCTAGAGACAACCTGGCAATAGTTAGTTCATTGTTCACACTAGCTTCTTCAAGTGTTCACAATCAATACCATATTAGAATACTGGACTTTTATTAGACAACAAGATAAGGAGTATCTCCATCATTGTAGAAGTTCTACCGTGCTGTAGAGCTCCAATCATTTCAATTAAAATCTGGAGCTTGTCAGAATTGGGAGGAGGGCTGGGACAAGACCCAACTATATGCTAGGTCTACAACAAATCCACTTTAAATACATACAAAGATAAAACACAAACATTGTGCAAGAGATGACTGGGTGACTAGATTAATATCAGACAGATATTCAAGACAAAGAGTATTACTAAGAGATGAAGTGGGACATTTCATAAAGATAAAAGGGTCAGTACATTAGCAAGATATCATCATATACGAGTATATTTACCTGCTGGTAGAGTTTCAAAGTACATGAAACAAAAACTAACATAGTTGAAGGAGAAATAGACAATTCTATCCTTTTGATTTCCTTTGGTTCTGTTGTGACATCGCCCATGTGATTTCTAATGCATGTTATTTGTGTCTTCTCCCTCTTTTCTTTTCTTAGGTTTGCCAATGGTCTGTCA